TTTTAAGAAATAATGCAACGCACGAATGCAGTCAATGAGTGGGAAAGATTGTTCAACAGGGGGCGTAGCTCAGATGGTAGAGCGCTCGCTTAGCATGCGAGAGGTACCGGGATCGATACCCGGCGCCTCCAACATTTTTTTCGCTTCACGACATAGAGATTTTAATTAGTAATACAACTATTGCTTATCACCGGGATGTTTCTGTTATAATATTTTTTATAAGTTATAACTTACATAATAAAAAGAGCTTGAAAATCAGCCGGTAATATAATTACTAATTATGTATGCGATTTAAATAATACATAGTTGCTATAAAATTAACGTATGCCATTAAAGTTTTGGGAATTTTTTTAGATGTTTATAACTTCTTTAAAACTTTTTTATTTTTTTAAACTAATCCATAATTAAATTACTGATAGTGGGCCATTGTTTCCAGTGGCTCTCAATTTTCTTCTAATTTGCTCTATTCTCCTCTGGGAAAAAGCAGGATCAATTACCCTAAGATTAAAAAAAAATCTTTTGTCGTACACTTTTCTGTTCAATATTGTCCAGTTAGCAAGCCTGAGACTTGAGGTATGTACATACGTGGGGAAATTTGTCCATTTTGGGTACAGAATTTATATTTATATTTATCAGGATGTGCTAACAAAAGAAATATTTTTTTTAAACTCGAAAATACACACAAACAATTTTATTATTGCATTTTGCATGTAATGTGAATCCATATTTTGCGCCTAGTGTGTGCAATGTACCTATCATTTATCGGATCTCTATGGTTTTATCAGGATAAGTGCTAACAAAACAAGCAATTTTTCTAAAACCCGAAAATAGACACAAACAATTTTCTTATTTTTGTCTTAAATAATTCTTCTCATTTTGTTCATTTTTTAATATACATAATAAAACATGGCGTGAAGCATGAAGAAACAAAGAGACTAATCGAGATTTTTGATGTGTGAAAAAACAAATTAGACTTATTTACGATTCGTGAAGTGAAAAATAGTTTATAATAAAGCGGAAAATATTAGCCTGGGAGATTTTAATTCACACCACGTCTAAGAATGACTAAAAAATAAAGAGATTTATAAAAAGAAATTAAGTGAAAGATAGAACTTTGTTTAATACCTTGCAAAAATAAACAGAAAAATTGTTTTATTTTGTTATTTTGTCGATATCAAGTTTGCGAAGACACGATCTCAATTTTGGCGATTATACCTATATCCAATACCAAAAAAATAACCTATTTTTATCTTTACGTAAAACTATATTAAGCAAGATATACAAAAATCCTACTTGGGAACCTTATTCCCAGATTGCCGATATGTTTATTTACTGTTATATTCCGGTAGCTCCTAGAAATATTCTGCATTTCCCTTTTCGAGCTACTTGAGACTGCACCTTATCGAACTCACTCAATAAAAGTTTATTCGAGAATCGAAGTATTTGAAGCTTTGTAATAGGAAACACAATCAGAGCTCTAACCTCTTTCTCAGCTTTGTCTTAGTCTTTGTCACCAACACAAAGTAAATTTAAATGGTGACATTTAGACAATTTAAAAATACATAATAGAAGAATTGATGAAAAAATACGTTTGTTAACCGCACATAAATCGGAATTTTCGCTTTGGCCTTAAACAATATACTATGATCCCGTGATATATTCTTCCTTAATCTAGAACATGTATACGATGTCAGTCACACTATACGTTCTCCTGAAAATACATTATCAGATTTACGACGGCTTACAACATTTTTGTGTACTTGTATTACCCGGAGAATCAAAGTTATATTTGTACAAGGAGTGAAAATGCTCAAAGTCTACTGAATATTTGATCGCGGGAAACGTACAGCAGAAAATTGGTGCGCTATAAAATTGAATTAATTTGATGACAAGTTTGAAAACAAGTAAAATGTTACAAAAAATTAACTGTGAGGTAAGTTATCAGATCTTGATGGCAGTTTGTCATCATTATGAACTATTATTTGTATAAAAAAGACGTCAGTAATTCTACATAAAGCTTATCATTACAGTTGGTTGTCTAAAACCGAGTCTAAAACTAAACGTTTTAGTCTACTATAATAGGAAATGAAACAGGAACGTTGCTACATTTTCAACTGAAATGTTTGAACACATCAAAAACAGGTCTTGATTAACGTTATTAATATCTAATGACCACTAATCAAGTGGTTCTGTCATTTGAAATTTATTATGTATCTACACAATCACGATTTTTTGCAGTCTTTCCTAACATTTACATTATAACAGCTTCGATCGTGTTATCTCAACGAGCAACACTCTCTTATTTATTATCCTTGCTTCCTCAATCCTTTCAACCTTATTTTTGTAGGCTTTTATAGCCGCTTGAAAATAAAATTAAATTAAAATTCCATGACTTTTAATTAATGTAATTAGAACAGACACTGTTAAAACTTCCAAAATTGTTTATTTTCTTTCTTAATTTACAAACTTAGTTACTCCTTATTTAAGCTCTTTTCTTCAATAATCTACCTGTTGCGCTCCATCAACTTCTCGTAATATGTAGGTGCTTCATGTATTGGTCACGAATTTCACCTAATAGTTGGTTGAGACTTCACGCCTAGATTTATCTCCTCCGCTTTTGACGGTTTCATCTCGGCACCTGACGAAAATTTGTATAAAGTTGCGTTTTAATTAAAATTGCAAGTTGTAAGCATCCGGAGTTTAAATAGTTTTCAAAGAAGCACGTTACATGTTTCAAGGACATTTCCGGGGAAGCTTATTACTTCTTATAATGAACATTCTAGAAGTTGGGATTTAGCGGAAGTTTGTAAAATATCGCGAGCTAATTTTGCACTTGTGGAAGAAAAAGTTTGATATTGAATTATTATTGAAACGATTAATTTCTGTTTGCTTTTCTGTTGTGTGTACTTTGCTTGATGGATTTTCAACAAAAGATATTTACTTCGATATTTTGTTGCAATGTTTAACTTAGTTTTGGGAGAAAATGATAATACAAAACTAATATTTTGTCAATCCGCATTTTTGTTTGTAAAACTATAGGGCAATCAAAAAGTTATTTAAAACGAAGCTAAATGAAATTCCATGTGGTTTCTAACAAATAATCATTGACAATACACACTGACAAGTCATTTCCTCAACAAAACGTTTTTGTAATTTGTTGCTAATTTAATTCCAGAATATTATCGCATTGTAGTCTTGGTTACTACTTGCGAATTTCAACTCGAACAATGTAAGCTTAGAATTGTGCTCTCATGTTTTTGTTGCTGAATATTTTTTTTATTCGACTTGAACACATAAAAAAAATCCAAATTGAGTTGTTTAAATAAAGATGCTCACTTTACTTTTTTAAATAAAATAAATCAGATAAGAATATGATATGTACCTATTATTAACATTTTTGTTTATATAAGCCTACACATTTTAGGAGAGAAAAAGCTGTAAAATGTTTCTGTTTCATTAGACTGGATGTTTTACAGCTGATACAAATGCATGAAAAACCGAGAAATGGATAAAGTATGAATGTTTTGGTTGTCTCGTTTTACGCCTTTCAAATATCGATGATGTATTGCTGTTTTAATATTTCCTCTCAGCTCATCCATCATCAAACGAATCTCAGAAAAAATTTAACATCAGCATCACTCGCACTTTCTGAGTAAGCTTTGCTGAGTAGTAATGCAGAATAACATTCAATTATAAGTTAGAGACATAAAACATTATTAAAAACACAAACATTCTTAAAATAAAGAAAATAAGTTGGTAATGATGATAAAAACAAAATAGATTTTTTTTCAATTTAGAGTGAAATTTTCTTTTAATTTTTTTTAACACTTTGTAAAAAAGAATTTTTAATGGTAATTTTCATGTTATTTTGTGTTTACTTTTTAGACAAATCCTTTAAATTAAAAAGCAGCTTCTGATGATGCTTTTATAAAAAACGAAACAGGTTAGGCAAATAGTCCCCTCCTCTTTATAAGTATATTTTACCAAGAATATTTGGTTAAGCCATGATGAACTATATTTTTTAATTAAAATCTTATACTTTCTTATCCGACGTTTGTTCTCTAAATTTTAAAACATCCGTAATATTTTTTAAAGCATTTTAGTTTGTTAAGATATATTATATTTAAGATATTATAGATATTACAACAAACTGACGTAGGAAATATTTTATTACTCTGAGGACTCAGGTTATCTATCAGACTGAGGGTCTATTTAAATGCCCACTGAAGTTTGTATTTTATTTACAACCACATTTAGTTTAATGTGTCTTTTGAATATGTAATTTCACATTAAATAAATTTAGAATATTTTATGTTATTACTTGAATCAAAGGATTAGTTGAGCAACAAAAGGTTTTTTGCCCAAAGTATTTAATCCACTTAGCAGTAAAAAGTAATGTGTTGGTAAAAACGGTTTAAAGTCAACTTATAAAACTTTAATCAGGCTAGCTTCGTTCATGCTTTTCACCCTCGCATAGCTATGAAAATATATGCACCAATAAAGTTAATACAATTCCACCATAAATCCAACACGTTTAATAAAACAATTTAGTTTGTATCCATTTTGTTATAAATTCCTCCACAAAGCTTATTTTTACTGCGACATCAAAGCTCGAAATGCCCCAACTATGAAAAGCGCAACTCCGACCAACTTCGAAATTCTTCACCGCTTCTGCACCGTGAAATTAGTTTCTTCACAAATCTCAGTGAACAAACCGTTTCAGGTTCGGCTATTAGTTTCTTGTTTATTGCATCAACTATCGGTCTTTGAAGTGGCTTCTTCGAAAAAAAAGCTTCTTCTTTGACAGTCAGCTGTTGGGGGGGAGGCCGCTCCGCATCGTGTTACGAGCAGAGCCGCAGTTGCTACCCCGATCGATTTGAGGGAACGGTAGCTACCCCTTGGCGCATTCTGGCAGTCCCCGTGAAACATCCTCTGCTTGGTCAACATCACGGTGTGCTCTCAAACCCTAACCTCTTCGCGATTATCGCTCTTTACCGTGCCATCAACCACTCAATTGGAGTCGAGCCGATTCGACCCACGAGATTAGTGACAGTTCTAACTTGTTGTGTTTTATAAGTGCAGTGGTAATTGCAATAAAAATTGGTCAAAGGTAAAATTGCAGACTTTGATCGACTTTTTGGCATCAATCAATGAAACCTCTAATTGGGGCTAATTAAAAATGGGAGGCGATTGGAGCGGTTTTGCTGCAATTGCAGACGATTTAGAAAACAAATCGAGTTGGCCCATTCCGGAATCGCCCGGAAACTAAAATAGATCAGTGGCATGTCACAGGAAAATTTTGTTATTGTAGGAATTTGAAAATGAGAGAGTTTATCGATTCCATTGTTACCCGCTTCTTGAGGTCCACGAAAACAAACCAAATATAATTTATTTAAAGTTTGACGACAAATATTATTAATGAGATTTTGGAAGCATCTGCTACCAAATTTAATTTTTAGTCTACCTTAAAGTTTTATCAATGTTAAAAGACTATTGACAGGAAAGACTAAATCTGTAAAAAGCTTTTAATAAATTATATATGTAGAAGAATGTTAGTTTGACACGTGGTGAAAAATTATATCAGATCGAAAGTTGTAAATTTGTTTTTCACGAGACATATTCACTTTCGATCCAATTTTTCAGTAAATGAGATAACAGGGAAAATGTCTAGTCTTCAAATTGGATTTCCTAAGTTTATTTTATACAATTTCAACTTTTCTAAAAAGATGGGTGTAACAGTTCTCGTTCTTTTTTTATAGAACATTTTAGGCTAGAATTTTTGTTTAAATAAAAGTATAAAAAGTCGTCTCGTTTATCAATTATCTAAACTTCTGGTGCATACAATCCGGCTGTGAAAGACATTCCATTAAAACTTTTTCCCTCTATGTCCAACTTAACAATGAACTAAAATAAAAGCTGCACGAAGAGGTTTTTGTGATAGGGTAGTCATAACTTATTCATATTTCAAACAGAATATTTTATTGTGAAAGAAGGGCAAGACTTTTAAATATGTTCGTTTGCTTTCTTTGAAATCATTTTGTAAGTGGAGAATGTGATAAAAGGAGAAAGATGTGTGTTTTCAATAATAGAAAACTTTTAAAATTTTTCTCGCTCATCACATTTGAATTCAAAGTATCGCATTGCCATTGCTTGGCTAAATGGAATTCTGTGTACAGTTTTTACAGTAAACTAAACACTAGATTGTGTGGTGCAAACTTTTAGTTTTTCCAAGCCCTAGAAGCAAAAATCTCACGGTTTAAAATTAGTGTGAATAAATTACAATTAAGCTGCTGACTTAATTTCATAAACATTTTAATATCCGACATGTTCTACGTTATGTAAAGGCAAATTTCGCCATTATTTTAAATTAGCAAAAATCTTAATCGCATTAAAAATAAAATTGTAGGACGTTGCGTGAATCGCCGCAGTTTTCCTACATGTGACCTCAATTCTTTCGAAGCAAATCCTGAAAAGTCTCGGAATTTTCATGAATTAATTAACGACATCAACCCTGTTCGGTGCTAACTTTGCTTAAATCATATTAATTAAGCGACTTGACAACTAATTTAATGGGTAGGTAATTAATCGTTTAGGTTTGACTAAAAGGTGATTTTGCACCGGATTTCCGTTTTGATGGAAAAATAATTTATTTTTAAATTGTGGATTGGATTTAGTCAAGACGGAATTTTTTTGAAAGGTGGTGTAAATTACGGTCCAAGACAGTCGAGTCTTAATAACTCCACGTAGATAACTAATCTGTCTCGTCAAGTATAATCTCCCCTATAAATTTCACCTAGATGATGGACCATTCCTAATGTAGGTTGTGATCACGTTTCTGTGATAATTAAAGCGTTAATTTGTAGTCATGGTAAATCAACAAGATTATGCGAAATTTGATTTGTGGCCGTGTTTATTTCCAAAAGGGATATTTAAATAAGACCGCCATAATTTAGGAGTGACTTCAGTCTTAAGAAAATATCATTCCATTTTGTATTTAAGTTTGGGGTTTACAAAATAACACAAATAGATTTTGTTGCAAGAATTTTCCCCAGTTTTTGTTCAACTAATATCCAATTAAAATGTAGGTACCACAACCACATTCGTGGTTTATGATGCGCTTTTTTTCTTATTACTCTTTTATTACTTTTTTATGTGCATTTTTATCTTGTGTACTAGATACTAACAGTAGCTATTACACGATACGCAGGAAGAAACTTTGTTATTTCCAAGTAATTAAGTGTTGATTTTTTGTCATAGCAGTTAAATATGTTACAAGCAGGTTACACAACTAAGCCATTAATATTTATGCAGACCCAGTTTGTATTATGCACCTTTGCATAATTTTGTAATTTAGCTGTACGCATCTTTCCCTGAAGGCTTTCCTTTCTATGTCAAATTTTACAATTTTTCTGTTTTATATATTTTCCTCTCTGCGTACAAATAAGGAATAAGCTACGGCCAATTTCTCATACCAAGTACTCCGTCTTGTGTTTCTATTACGTAATTTTTTGGGCTTAGGATTTCATCAATCTATTTACCCTACCTTTATGTCATGTCTCATGTGTATAAAGCGAAATACTCAGGAAATGAACTCGACTTATACCAAATAGTTCATCTCGTGGCGCATCTTGATTTTATTTACATGACAATGCGTTCTCTCCTTTGAAAATGACTTAATAGCTGTTGTGTAATTCCAGTTACAAAACTAGTCAATTTTGTAATTTTGTAATTTTCTGCTGAAGAAGGACACTGATTTTTTTATTATTTTCATTTGGGTCATTATGAAGTCGACACCAACCTCCATTTTTTCGGTTAGTTAGACGTTTGGGCTTGAGATTATCACAGTTTCCATCTCAATTCTCTTGGGAACAAACCGATGTTGGAATCTAGGAATTGTCTTTTTAGGACAGATTGAATTGTAGTTTCTTGCCGAGCGGGATATAAATTTTGTACTAAAACTTACAGCTTTAATAAATTTTTAACAATGCCTTTGGTTGAGTTTTTCTGATTGAAACGTGAAATGTTTTTTGCTTGTTGATTTCGTCTGGATTGAGTGAACTTGCAGTTAGCATCATGCATAATGAGGATAATGAGGAAGATATTCTAAAAAGATGGATATTTAATTAAAATAAATAATTCAGGATGTTTTTGCAAAAACATTTTAAAGAACGAATTCAGGAGGAGTTGAAAAGAAAATTTTATATTCAGAACGTATTTCATTTCATTCATACTGAAAAAAGAAAGCTAGGTGGTAATTTTTAGCAAATCATTTGCAGTGTTAGAGATAAATATGTATTCTTAAGGAAAAGAGTAAAAGGTGACTCCTTATTTTTCATCACACTCAAATTCTTGCTTTTATTGTGGCTACGACGAATTACCCTCCGGTGAATAAAAAGTCCATCAGTTTTGCTACTCATTTTTTATTTTATTTTGATACAATGTACTTTTACATTTACAGCAGTAAAATGACCTTTTAAACTCTTGTAATGTATTTTATTTTATATTGTTTTAAAAAAATTAGTAAAAAAATTGCATTGCGTTTTATGTCAAAAATCACAATCGGGTAGGTGTTGTTTGATTATACTTACTGGCTCTGATACCATAATAAGCTTATTTCGCGCATCAAAATGGAGCCGTGAGGCTTAATTTGCCGGACAGTATAAAATAAAGCATATTTAAATACCAGAGTAGTGATTATTGGCAAAAAAATGAGGTTAAATAATATTCAAATCAAAATTTTTTTAGAAAAATCTATAATTTTTTTAATCTTTAATTTTTTTAATATACTTGTTTATTACATTTGAAAGGCTACAATAAATGATTCATTATTTTAATTATTACACTCATAAGGCAATGATTGACAATAACCGGAAATTTTTAATTGCTCCAATTAAAGCAACTCGAGTTTCAAGTAAAAATTTAGTGAAAACTTTAACTACCGAAAAGTAATTAACAATCGCCTCATTTAAATCTAGCAGAAATTAAGACAGCTGGAAGACTGTTGAAGACAGAACAGCAGGCATTGCGAAACTAATAAATTTTTCTCTTAATCGACTTTTGACCCTTATACGTGTCTACGATCCGAGAAAAAAGAACATTACATTGCACCAAAGATAAAAATCTATTGTCGACAACATTTTTATGTATGTACTACATTTCTAATGCTTCTGTCAATGCAACTCTAAAAATAACATCCTTTCATTAGAGGTTTTATTGATTTGTTACTTCAGATAAAAATTAAAAAATTATTTATTCATAGTTCAATTATTGCAAAAATAAAATGTTTTAAAATTTCGCAGTGAAATGCGGTGTGAGTGTTAACCTCAAAAGTGTCTTTTTTAACTGTGCAATTTTCACCTTCACCATCGATTCTTCGCCGAGCACCTCTCCGTCGGACGGAGCCAGTATCCTGGCTCCTCAAACCGACAAACTGGCGGGAAGTCGTCGAAATTCTAGGCTGGGGGGCTACTGGACTTACGAGATGCTCCCCAATGGAGAACCCTCACCTCCAGCCGCCAAGGCCAGGGTCAATTTTCTGCCGGAGATCCTCGACAGGAGACCTAGCAGGTCCATCCTGATGCCGAGGAGGAATCGCAGTATGAGTGCCTGGAGCGACATCAGTAGGTCTAGCTGGAGACTAGATGAAAGGTTTGTTTGGAATTAAAAATGTTTCGCTGGCCCAGTTTCGCAGCTTTTATGTAATCCACGTTACAAATAAAACCAATTTGCATTTAAATTTATTCGAAACTTTATTATAATCAGACAATTAGGCCTGAAATTCTTCATTCTAAATATTCATGAGTCGAAATAATTTACCCTTTTTATACAAATTAAAGGTTGTTCACGTAGAAAACAAATTTATCGGCTTATTTTCATATTTTTCGTCTAAATTTTGTGGATACCACACCTACATGTCGTTCAAAAATAGACTTGATGAATAGCAAAAAGCAAGGGGATTAACGAGGAGTTTCAATCGGCTCGGTTGGAATTTCGTGCCAGCAATTATAAAATCAGGATTTTGTATAACCCTCTTATGTCGATAAAATGGATGAGATAAGGATAAAAATTTTACTGATGAGCTGTGAAGCATTTTCTGTAGTGGAGCAAATTGAAAGCATCAGTCCTGTGGAGGAATGAAATGACATTTTTTAGGACACTAAAGAAAGCATCCACTGAAATTTATCTGAAAAACATTTTGTCTTGTAAGCAGATAAAAGAAAAATATAAGCGCTAGCGACGTTATAACAGCTAAACTGCTGTTTCCTACATTATTTCTGTAAAATGTAATTTGAGCTCGAGTTCTCCCAAATGGGACAATAATTTTAGTTGGGTTTTGTCAAATATATTCTTTTACATTTACGGTTGGGAAATGTATTGACAGATACTGAGGCAGCCTATATTTTAGTTTAGCTCAACTATAAATTCCTCAGGCAAGTCTACTTTAGCGACTTTACTTGCACATTACACCACAAACTTCACGAATAGATGGTATAAACATTTCACTCCCTGACACATCCGCTTATGGGGATTTAACACGTTCTAGACCAAACGGAAGCTTTATTCTGGTGCTGCCTCTTGAACCCTTTCCATTTCAATAACCTTAGACCACGCAATAGTTTTCCAACTTTTAAACCTTTATTCCCCGACGCTCTATTTGAGACTTTGACGCTATTGCTAAAGAATCACTTATTTCTTGTACCTTAGCTTCCAAGACTTATAATCGTTTTTTGTTGTCTTTTAATTTAAACTTGAAACCTTTTTTTTTCTTGTTGCAGGTAAGCATGACAATCCCACACACTACGAATTATCGATTTACCAGCTCATCAGTAAGTAAACAAAGCACTTTTTTATTATTATGGACGCATCTGTAATTATTTTGTTGATTCAGTAAATTGATTTTCCGCTCGGAAAAGCTATTAGGGTCAAAAATATTAGAGGTTTAAATATTTTTAGAGCCTGTTTGATATATGGCTACTTTATGATACTATGATGAAAAAGAACGTGAAAGATCATAGGTCAGAGCAAGATTTATGTTTTAGAACGATATAAATTTTAATGTGAGTACTCCTGATGTCTGCATTTGTACGAATATAACTTTTCGTTTACAATTCACTCAATATTTCCTATAAGATCGCAAACTGCGTTGTCGAATGATTTCCCTAAGATTTTCAAGTACTTCGGAACATATAAAAACGACAAGATTTAGGATAGCTTTTTATTTTGATTGAACGAAGGCTATATTGAGAGGAAAAGTAGAATCTGATTGATGTTTACCTCTTTTTAAAACATTTTTTATTCATAAAATAAATCACTTTTCTCTTTTTTAAAAAATGACGTTTATTTTTGATGTTATATACAGTATTTCCCCGGATTGAGTTTACAAGAGGAAAAAAAATTTATCTTTGATTTTACGCCAAAACTGCAAAGGAAAAAAGTTTTTACTTTACTTGAAACCAGCAAATCTGTAATTAAAACTTCATTATTCTAACTCAGTAGAAAGAAAAGTTAATTTTTCTCTTAATTTTGGACTTAAGAATAATTTTTCTCTGCTTTTTAAGTCTTATCATATTGGCGGTTTTAATTATTTGACAACTATATGTCACTTTGACAATTAATTTTTTAATTAAATAATGGTAGTTCAAAATGTTAAAAAAAGAATGTTAAAAATGACTTTAGTTTTTAGAGCTTATTCCATATCTGGTGGCGAACTGACAGTGACAGAAAAGACACTTGGAGTGCGACCACTTGGTTAAGATAAAAAATACATGGGCGTACTTTTTTTCTTTAAAAATTTTGAAGACAAGGATTGTTATAAATATTATTTTTGAAAATTCTTTTCATGTGCTAACAATTTAATAATTTGTTCATCATTCTTCATCTTTTGTACTAGTACCTACTTATTATAATTTTTTAAAGAATAACAGTGGTTTTGAAATATTATTTCATACGACGCTTATGAACAATATTTTTTTTAATAGTAAACATATGTTTAGTGTCAAAATTCAGTCATTTTTGACAACGTCAGTTCGCCACCAGATTTGGAACAAGCTATACCTTAAAGCTGTTTCTTTGAGTTGCTGTTTATTAAAATTATGTTTTTCACAAACATTTTTGTTATTTAACTTGCTTAAACTCATTTGTCAAAGTGACATCATTGTCAAAATAATAAAACCGCCAATGTGATATTTTTTCCTCTTGCTGACTCAATCCGGGGACATACTGTAGAATTGTGTGGACTTCTATAGTTAGAATACCAAATATGCGACATGTCATAAGTCGTGAATTTAGTGCTAGAGTCATCTCAATCACCATAAATCAAATATCTATTACCTGAATTGTCAGCTTCCTAGAATTTTAGCTACCATTTGTCGTAATGATTGAAAACGGATTAATTACTGTTTCTACTTTTAACAAATAATGATTAACAAAGAAAAAATTACAGTCTAAAACTGTAAATATAACATTACATTGGTAATTAAGCAAAGAAAAATAATAGTTATTTATTGTAAGAGTGTGTTAGGTAGCGTTTTATCCACGCAAGAATGTTTAACCGCGAGAACGTCAGTTCGAGTGTGGATAAAATACTTTTCTTTTTTCTAATATTCTGTAAATTGTGTGAAGAAAACATTTGTGCTCTCTACTTAAAGCAGTAAGTAGGTAAATTAATTACAAAACGTATTTCAATCTAGTGTTTGGTAGAGTAAGCCAAAAATGTGCAATTAGCTACACAGCGGCAAACTCATCTCCTAGATTAATTCAGTTCATTATTATTGCTGACAAAGTTGTTAGCGATGAAATAAAGATAATTTCAGATTAAAAGTGGCAAGGTACTTAATAATATTTTTTTTATTTGAATACACAATATACGACTTTTGGAAGTGCAACAAATTAGTTTTTGCTTTGTTTTTTATTGTTTTTCTATTGTAAATCATCCGATTTATTGTTCCAATTTTTATTAATGACTTATAGGTTTGTTCTCTATGTTATTTACAAGACGTGGAACAAATATCTTTGCTTTTGTTTCCTTGAAATGGATTGAATTTTTTCCTTTTATATGAAACCTCATCAAGCTGAGAGATTTGTGAGCCGAGCAAATTGCTTGTATGTAGGTACGGAAAATCTACTTAGTTCCCTACATGCATCATTTAGATTTGGCTGTATAAGTGGCTAGTAAAATGTGTAGCTAAGATTTAGGATTGGAGCAACAGAGAGCAATCAGACAAGAGCATAACTTCTTGTTAACCCCAAAGGTTCACTACGTCTGTATATCACTTGCAATCTGACGTTTGAATATAAATTATTCGTCAAAAAATATTGATGCAATTTGGAGAACCCCGATTTCCAGCGTTAAATTGAAGTCGATTTGTAATTAGGCCGAAAGGAAAAGTTTGACGCTGTTGAGCCCAAAGATCAACACGAGTTGGTAATTTGGCACAGTTGAAGAGAAACTCACTTTCATCCTTTTGTGAACGAAATTGTGGGATTCGACGCCGAAAACACTAATTACTTTAATATGAAAACAACAAATTCCACTCTGTCCTTTTAATTAAAAATCCCATCTTCGATGTTATTCTGATGTAGGCGTTCTAACGAGGCGTAAAACTTTATGGGGGTGCGAATAAACCAGGAAATTACACATTTATCCTGTATCGTTTAATCCATTTCAAACCCTGTCTGTGGTTTCCTTTGTTCCGGATTCTTATCGGTTTGCGTGTAAACATAGAGTTGTCATGAACTGCGATGTTTGTCTCCTAGAAGTTAGGCACGACTAGTCGATAACTTTCTAAGTAGTGTCTGAGGCTGAAAGGTTATTGAAGACGAGACTTGGAAAACGTAAAACGTATTTTTTCGAAGCTTCTGGATGTGTCGTGTCTTTTATTATTCCAAGCGAAAGACTGACTTAATCAACTCACTTCGAGTATGAAAAGAAGTTGAAAAAGTCTTATTGATTGCGAAACATATTGGTCTGACTTTCAAAAACACATTTTAAGTACTGGAATTTATTTGTAAACACAATCAGAGAATCAGTTAGTTAAATCAAGGTAGTGATATGCAGAAATGCTACTGACGTGATGTAGGGTGTATATAAGGTTTAATTTTAATATTACTTAGCTGTGGTTATAAATTCAAAGCACAAATGTTTCAAATGATTCCCCACATATACCTACCTACATACATGAATGCTTTTAGGTTAATAGAGGCCGTAATTTAAAGTGACATATAAATAATTGATAGTAATTTGTGTCACTGCCTATATTAAATTTATAGAATGAATTATTCTACGAATCGACTTTTAATGAAAATGTGAAATATATCATCCTAGTTGTGGAATAAATTTTACAACAAACTATCATTTAACATTTGTTCCGTTGCCGTTTTTGAAGCAGTGCCATAAGTGCCTATAAAGTCCCTCAAATTCGGTCATTTGAATAAAATTTATAACGTTGTTGAGTCTTAGTAGCTTTAAAGGCTCTTATATTCGTCTCAAATGTTTGGATAATTTCCAATAAAATTTCCAGATTTTACGAATCAGAGCAGATCGTTAACGTTTTGGGTGTTCTTACTTGTTGATAAATCGATGTTTACTACTACAATTTTAACGAATCCTTCTATTCCGAAGCTTCAATAAATTTTAAAACAACTTTAAAGGAAATTAAAAATATTTTATTACTAATAGAGTAAAATTACACGGAAATTAACATCTTAATTTATTTTTAATTTCTGAAGATGAAAGAATTCTTGTTGGAGCTTAGTAATGGCGAAAATTCTGAAATAAACAAATTCATTATTAAAAGTTGATGGAAAAAGTGTCTTTTCAGGCAGAAGTAAAAATGTTTTAGAGTTCAAGCGGCATATGATAAGGGTAAAATTACATTTTTCCACTTTGTATAAAAGATTAAATAAAATGCACTTCACTATTTTTCAAGTACTGTAAAAGTATTTAGCTTTGAACATATCGGGTATCCAACATGACTTCCAGTACTGTAAAAGAAAATATTTATATTTTGGTTATAATAAAAGAAAGAATATTTTTTAGGTCCTGTTCTCTCAAAGTTTATTCTTGTACTTGCTATATGTTTCGGCTATTTTTAAACAGCCATCTTCAGGCAATATTGTTTTATTTACTTCCGACCCCGGTTAAAACTTATACATCATTTTATGAAAACAAATTTTGTTTTTTTCATTTCAAAAAATGTTTCATAAAATGTAGAAGTTTTTCATAAAATGAAAATAAAAGTGGTGAGCGGCTTCGAAAGTGAATAAAATAATATTACCTGAAGATGGCTATCTAAAAATAGCCGAAACATGCAGCTAGTACAAGAATATACTTTGACTTTGAAAGAACAGGATCTCAAAAAAATATTTTTTCCTTTATTATAATCAAAAAAAATCTCACAAAATGCATCCCCCGATAATTTTATATTTTACTTCATCTCTAAAAATATTTCACCTGTCATTCAATATTTCACAACCAAATGCAAAATTATTTACGGTTACACAGCATATTTAAGTCTCAATAATTAATTTAATCTCAAGTGTTATTACTTGAAAATTAATTAACCGTTAAACAAACAAGAGTTTATTTTTTGTAATAACGAAGTGTGTTTCACTAAATATTGATTTTAAATGTCTTAGTTATGTTTAAATTTTTGATTTAATTGCATTTTCATTTTGTTTTTGTTTAATAAAAAATTAATTAAAAGTAAACAAATGCAAGAATAACTGTGTGCAATTAAAGCGGTAGCTTTCCTAGGCAAAACAATGCAGTGTTTCAATTTTACTGTTATTTTTCAAGATTTACTGCAATTTTAAAATGTAAATAAATGAATGCTACGATCTCTTTTTGCAATTCCATTATACAAGTAACAAAAGAACCAATAATAAGCCATTTTAACTGACACAGTTACAAATTACCTACCTAATTTTAAGAAAATAATTCACTGCCGACTCGCCAATCAACACTTCTTGTTTGGCGTGGCGTTAGAAACAGTAAAAATAAACTGGTGGTAAACAAATGAAGCGAAAAATTGGAAACACTTGCACAAAATTCAGGAAATTGACCGATTAATAAATCTTTGCATTTTTTCTTGTCATTGTTTTTAACAGTTTGACATCACTTTTAAATTACTATGAGTGCAGAGGCAACCACTGCCTTAAAACTAAAAAGAAATAAAATAAAAGTACTTACATGAATATAAGGGGCATTATAAGTTGGCGGAACAGTCGACATAGGAGGCTGAAAGAAATTAATTTTTAAAAAAATTAAGTCTTTTCCTCTATAACATAAATAGGTATGTATTTCTAGAGCTTCGTTTTGTTTCAAGTCGGTTATTTTCGGGTTTTTTAATACTAAGAATATACTTATAAACAATTTATAAAAATACTTACCATACAAAAAGACACATTTACTGGAAATGATGACACTGGTGGCTCCCCAGAGAAAAATTGATACGTGGGGGGTGCTGTATTGTGAATAGTGTTTTTAGAGTGACTAAAACAGATGGCAATATGTAAATTTTGATTTAAGTAAGACAAGTTTAAGTTACCCAGACCGATTCGCTTTAAAAGGCCGTCTACTAAATTTTATTTTCTTTTTTCCAATAGTTAAATCTGCAAAATGTAGATCAGATAAATGTAGATGTTGAAACTATGTACTCACTTTTTAAGAGTTCTTCAGCTTTTTTCATGGAGTCTGCATTGTTAAAAGTTATGAATCCGCACTTATCGTAAATACGAAATTGTATCAATGTTTTTACATCGATAAGTTTAACAATCGCTTCAAAAAATTCTTTCTTTGTAATGTCGGTATTGAAGTTCGTGAAATAAAGACATGTATGCTAAAACATGTAAACATAAATTAAAGTGTCGGCAACATCAATAAGTGACCAGTAAAATCCTACTTTATTCCAAGAATTGACATAATTACATGAGGGTAGAAAGAAGCCTACAAAAACACATAAGATTATCGACTCACGTATCGCAATAGTTCAGGAATAGCCCAATGAACATCAATCAAATTGTTTCCGATTCTAAGAAAGGGCCACGACTTCTTGTGCGCCATGATTGCAAATTGATGATCCCTATACGTACAAAAGCAGTAATATCGGTCAGGTGCCCTTGACTTCTTCATCAAAACGTTTGTCAAGCCTTCGCCTATAGTACTAACGATATGTTGTCTAATATCCTCCTCGGGGATGGTCTCCGGGATTGATCTCAGAAACAGTTGGTTATTATTCAGAGACATTTTAACAACGATCCTATGACCACTCTCGATGACTTCGTCATGTAGACAGCAAATAGCTTCGCGACTGGCTTTCGTATGCATATATTGCACGAAACACTTGCCTCTGTTCGAGCCACTGAAGTCCATCAGGAGTCGCATTTGGTAGATCTCGCCGCATTGTGCGAAGAATTTGAAGAGGTTCTCGATGGCGATGTTTCGTGGAATTTTTGCAACGAATATTTCGCTCATGGGTTCGGGGTGTAGGTTTGGATTTTGCAGTGTCACGTGCTTCTGGCCATAGATTTGGAACACTCTGTATTTCAATTCGATTTCTGGGCTTGTGTAAGTCAGTTGTTCTAACTCGATGCGGAGGACCACTTGGCACGTCATTTTTGTAATGGTAACGATCGAGTTTTTACGGAAATAAAGACTTGAAGAGTTGTGGAAAGCTGAGGCTGAGACTGAGGACAAACCATCATGAGGGACCGTTGGATACTGTTATCCCCACTTTAAATACTTTTATTCATGGCCGCTGTAAGAGTATTGGTTGCTTCTGGCCGACAAAGCGGATACCAGCTCTTTTTGTTGCGGTTTAAATAATGCATAATTTATAGTTTTTGCACTAACATTTACATTATTGCCAAAAAATTAATTAACATAACTTATTGTTATTTTACACTAAGAGCTAGAAAATTCTTTTAGTATTCTAATTCCCCGAATCAGGAAAACATGGAAAGGATTGCTCAATTAGTAATTTTAAGTAAAAAATTCATTATGAGGTATGTATAATATGGGTTTTCCGATAGGTTGATTCTATCTCGGGTTCTACTAACAAGTCTTAAGTAAAAAAACATTCTGATTGTCTGGCATCTAAAAGCTGTTTTTTAAATATGTAATTGCTTTTATTTTGGTAGTCCTGAAAATTTGCAGAATGCTTTTTCTGTAAGTTGATGTTCCACTTTTATAAATCAAAAAAAAAAAAATGTTAAAGCAATACATCCTTCATAAAATTTTATATCATAGGGACATGCAAATTTTGAGTGGTTTTTCTTAGAAATACAGATGTTGACAATTCTTGATTAATTGTTATTAACTACATATCTATTCAAAGTATATTTGTTTGATTTATCTATCCATCAACTTTGTTTGATTAATTTTAGATCAAAACTTTCTAGGTGGTGATACAACGGTTATAAGAATTTGTGAAAAAAGTTCCGAGGAAATTTTGTTCATCAGCATTAATTAGGAACGGAAGTTTTTACCAACTTGTAACATCTTTTACTTGTTTTGTGTTTTTGTTCAATGACTAGTTTATATCTTCTAATTTTTACAAACTCAAAAAGGATAGGTGAAAAGCAAAGAACAATAAATGCTATTTAAATTTTTATTAGTAAAAACTTAGGTGTACTCTGTATGTAGTACATAATACAATGAGTATTGATTATATTACATGTATGCTTTAAATTGTGATTAACTTAACGTTACATAAAACAAAGAAATGAAAAAGGCATTTTATAAGATATTGTGTCTGTTACTAATATAACAATTTGTAAGTACATGAATGATATATATATTCGTTTTTATATTTTATTGGACGACTGCACTTTATACAAATATCTCATCGGAGTTTCCACAGTGTATAACAGAAGAAAAACCCTGAAAGTTAACATTTCAATCCTAACATTTTTTTAAAGATTTTTTGTTACATATTCCGTTCTCAAATTTGAATCAGTAAAACACGACTGAGACTGCCGCCTTCTATTTCTCCTATAAATAGAACTTTGGACCAATCTTCTTAGAGTAGGTGGTACCGACTTGTTAAGAAAGTTGGTTAAATATTTATATACTCAATTAAAAAAAAATATAAATATTATAAAAATTATCCAGGAACATATTTTCACGGTGTTGTTTACTATATTCAATTGGCCTGGCCCATTCGACTCCAATCAATTTGTTCATTAAAACGAGTCCTGGATTAAAAAAAACATAGTCAATTACTCTCTGAAGGATAATCAATATCAAAATTATTGCTTCTATCAGATGGGGCTTTACAGAAGTCTAAATTTAAGAGTAGGTGGACGAGGGAGTGTTCAACTTAATTGCAATGAGATCAGTGTTAAAGTGATTGGTCGTTCCCTCAGTCGTCCCATTATACCTACTTTTGTACTAATTGAAAGCTTACCTAGTAGTAGCTTTTTAAAGGCCTCTTCGGCATATCTTCGAAAAGTGATAAGTATCTTAAAATTTAATGATATACCTTATACCTACATACTATTCAAAATCAATGTATTTCTCTAGTTCTGCATTTGTTTAAAAGTTTTAAGTCGCAGCAGTTAAAAAAAAACCTTGCCTCTAATTTTTTTCTGAAAAAATGTTTATTTAATAATATTGATAAGGACGAGAAGTTTGTAACACTGGTAACATCTTTCACTTATTGTTTGATGTTTTCGATACCAAGTTTATACTTTACCTTTTACAAACTTAAATAAGATAGATAGGTAGGTAATAAAACAAAGAACAACGCAATCTATTAAATTTTTAATGGTAAAAACTTATAAACCTTTACGAAATGTGATACAATTATTGATTTAAAATATTGACTTAAAATAGATTTTCTAGATTATATAAAAAACTACAAATGAAAGAAGGCAGATGAAGCCATCCACTTCTTCGTACTCATTTCACAAATGCATTTTATATTTCAGTAGGATTTCCACGATGTAGAACAGAAAAAAAGTCCTGAAAAGTAACACTTTTAACTAGAGACTTCTTTACAGTCATATTACTGTTCTCACATATTCTGTTCCTGAATTTTGATCAGTAAAAGACGACCGAGATTGACGACTTCTATTTCTCATATCAACTGAGCTTTGGACCAGTCTTCTTAGAGTAGGAGGGACCGACCTGTTAACAAAGTTAGTTAAATAAGTATATCCACAATTTACAAAAAAAAATTACTTGCAAAAATTATCCGGCAATCTCGCTCCACGGTGTTGTTTACTATATTCAATCGGCCTAGCCCATTCGACTGCGATCAATTTGTTCATTATAACTAGCCCTGAATAAAGAAAATTTATAATAATTATTCTTTGAAGGGTAGGTAATCATAGCGAAATTGCTTCTACTACGAGGGCTTTACAGGAGTCTAAATTTAAATCTAGGTGGACGAGGGACTGTTCAACTTAATTGCTTTGGGATCTGTGTTAAAATGATTGGTCGTTCTACTAGCTACTTCTATGCTAATTGGAGGCTTACCTGTTAGTTTTTCGAAGGCTTCTTCGGCATATCTTCGAAGAGTGAAGTGAACGAAAGCGAAATTGTTCATTTTGTGCACCTTAATGATGTGGTTGGGGTTTAAAAGCTCACATAAAAAGCTTTTCAAGTCGTCGGAAGTCAAGATCGGTGGCAGGTTGCTGAGATACAATTTCCTGACCTTGTAGAATAATTAATTATAAATTAACTAACAAATCGATTTAAAAAGCAAAAACATTAAGCCTTAAGACTTATTTTTTTATTATAACTTAAAAATGACGGAAAAATTTGGACATAAAACGAGTTACATATATTAATTGTGGTTGAATTTTAAAATAACTTGTTTGTAAAAGACACATCTCTGATGAAAATTGTATTTTTATTTCTGACAAACACTAAATTTTTTTATAAAATTAAGTAGTTGTTTAATTGGTTTATTGTAGCTTCGTGTTAATTAGAGTTTTAAGAGTTTAAAAAATAAATTTTGACATACCTGCTTCATTATTTGCGGACTAACTACCGGCAAAGGTTCGGCCCAATCAACAAAAATTGATTTCTCCTTAATAATTAAATTTCCTGGAGACAACTGCCTGCGGGCAATTGCAGCTAAACGGTGGCTTTCAAATTCAACAAAAACAAAGCCACGATTAACATTATCACTGTACGGCTCAGGATAAAGAATAATGTCGACGATGCCTTCGACAAATTTTTCCAAAACGCATTGAATTTCATTCAAGGTAATGTTTTTGGGAATATTTCCGATAAACAACCGGCGGTTATCCACTGACATCGAAACAGCAATCCTACTTTTATTTCGAATTTTGTAGTGATTAAAAGCTGCCACAGCAGCATGGGCATCTTCCTGTCGGAAATACGAGATGAACCCGTATCCTCGATTACGTCCAAAAAAGTCCAGCATTAGCCTCAAGTTGTAAATAGCGCCTTTCTGGCTAAAGAGCGGGATGAGTTCGTCTTCATATAAATCCGGGGGGAGGTTTCCGATGAAGATTTCCGTGCCTTTAGGGGGAGGGCGAATTCCGGAAGATGCACTTGGGCCGTAAATGCGTTGGCCGTTGACCTGGATAATTTGGTAATTTTTGAGTGAGTTTGGAAAAGTGAGATTCCACAAGTCTTTTGATAAAGCCATTGCACAATAAACAATTGCTAATGATGACACTATACTCGCGACCGATGTTGGAGCAATACTGGATTGCTGATACTGATTAATAACATTAAGATTAGTTGCGATGTCAAATAAAAAAGAACAGGTTTCCAGAGAAATTTCGCAGTTTTGATTGGTCATTTAAGACTGTACGTGAGCGTGGGAATGCAGGTGGTGTCTGGATATTGCACCCATTTCTAGAAAAAGTGTTTTTTTTATTCTTGAACCGATTCATGATGATTCCTACCATACAGGGTGTTTTTATCCGACTTGTATTACTTAATACTTTTATATGAGGACAATTTAGAAAAAAATCTACTGAGTTACGAAAGAAGACTTTAAGGGTGTCGTCCTGATTTCTAGCACTAGAAGAAATCGAAGTGGGATAAGGGACGCAAATTTTGTCTCCAGAACGTGGTGGTTCCTTGTAGCGAGTACTCGAATGAACTTATCTGGCTAAAAAAATTCTAGGAAGGGCTGAATCTCGTGCAGTACCTTTTTCAAGAGAAATGATAAAAAGGTTAAAGCAACCAGCTCTCTTGAAATTACGTTAGTGCTCAAAAAATTGTGAAGGCAAAACTTGAAATCCGAATCGAATTTGAGGGACAGACGGAGCAAATCGCCATTATTTTTACTTAATGTTTTAATGCTTGTACCTATGCCCAAATGGAACTTGTAATTTTTTTAGTTGCGCCGAATTTTGTAAATTGAATTTTTTAATTACAATTCTATAAACTGCGTTTTCTAAAATATGCAAACTAACTATTTGTTAGCCTCGATACCTCGATAACCATCTTACATTGGGCCGTCAGTGACCGAGATCGATTTCTTAGAAAAAGCTGTTCGGCTTATTCCATCTGGGACCATAATTTATAACTATTATAAAGTTTGCAGTTTTGTGAATCTTCATTATTTAAGCTACAAATGTGAAATGTAACTCACTTTCGTAGACATATGTATACAAGTTCTCATAACGTTCTCAAAAAGTGTAAGAATGTTTTGTTTGTCATCTGATTTTTTAATAGAAAATAATCAAAAATACAATTTTATACTTTTTTGGTGGTTTTTTATTTTAACATTAACTCCTAAATCAGAGTGTCAATACTATTTACATCAACTTTTTCAAAGTTAACAACAAGTAGCCAATAATTCTATAGAAACCAGTACACCACTCAAAGATAGAATTTTTCTATCAACTAATACATAGTTTTTGAAATAAAATAAGTCACAATTTGTATCATTGCGCTACTTGCTTGCTTGCATTGCAAATCAAGTGGGAAAATTAATTTTTCCTTCTCCTTAAGTAAATCAAGTTTATACAGCCGCAACCGAAAGAAAAAGATGCGAGCAAAACTATATTGAATTTAAATAACAGCATATTGAGTTTAGTATACAGTATTTTAAAACACCTATTAAACAAACTCCATGACAATAAGCAGTGAACATCGATTTATATAAACAATTGAACAGGAGATTCAGTTTTTTTTTATTTTCATTACTTCAGTTTAAGGCTAATGGGGTATGAGGGGTATGAGTCTAAACTAAAGTTGAATGATACTAAAATCGTCTGAAATGACATGCCTTTAGAAAATTCGATAAGAAATTAAAATCGATTTGTTGAGCCACTTCATTTTCTTAAGTACATTCTTTAATCTTTGGACACGGGAATGACATAAATTTAAAATTGATCTTACACGTAAATCGACTAGAAAAAAAATCTAAACAGGATCGCTTCAAATACTGTATTTTTTAGGTGTTTTTTAACTCGATTTATTTTGCATTTGTAAAACCTAATTTGTATTTAAAAATTTGTCATTCACCGAAGAAAAGTATAAGCTTTCAAATGCTGTTTTCTAAAATTCATTTGGTTTTGTCAAACTCTAGTCTTATCGAATTAATTTAACGCCTACATTTGCCGTATGCTTTACTACACGGGACGGCAACCTTAAACAAAATTTATTTTTTTTAGTTTTTCAATCCTATTTCCAACTTTTTTATATAGGCTATACCACTTTGTCAAAAAATAAAGGTTTTGTAATTAAAAGCTAGCGAAATATTTATCTACAGCATCAATAATAAATTAAACTTTCATTGGATTCAAAATTTTTTCTGACCTGACTTGACACTGAAATGAATTTTGATAGCACCTACGCTTTTTCAACATGTACTATTTTAATTAGTTATATTGTTGAATATTTTAAAACCACTCTGTTTAGCATGTAGGAGTATATAACAATATAGGACGAATGACGTAAGCCAACCACCTATATTTTTTTTTCTTCTAGAAAATTACTGGACAATATTAAACTTATTAATTAAATGTTCAGCAAATATATTTTTTTAATTTTTTTTGACCTTTTGGTTTCATTCGTAAATGAAGCGAAATACTCACACTACCCACTAAAAAACGTTTGGTATTTTGGGTAGAAAGTGTGGGCAGCTATTTCATTTTCACTCGCTTATTGTTGATCGGTAGTTAATAATTTTTAAAAGTGATACACACACTTACTATACCAAAAAAAGTATGAGACTAAGTGTTTTACTTATTAGCTAATTACTTTATGAAAAAATAATTAGTGCAGTGTAGAGTACGATAAAAATGTGATCGTTTTTTACAAAAAAATGTGTGGTTCTGCATGGATCAAAAAAGCCAATAAGAACGAGCTCACTTGCTTCTATTTTAACTGGCAACAATATTTTTTTAAGTAATATATACAGGGTGATGCTTAAATAGACCGAATTTTTTTTATCAGAGCTTATTTAAACTTATGTTTGTTCTAAGGGAATATCTAATCCTATTTATTTGAAAATTTATTTTCGTTTCTTCTATTTTTTATTTCATAGTTTATGATTTTATATGTACAACAGCTACGTTATTTTATAGAATATCTGGTTTACATGAAATACCAGTTTACACGCTTCAACGGTAAGTTATGCATCCACACAATCAAATGCGGCTGTCTTTGATACATCCGAGTAGAGAAACAAAGTTTCACTGAACAAGCGGCTTGTGTAATCGGCTTTTCTTTTCGCTGAAACAATCAGAATTGCCATTTAAAGATGACCCTTCTATCTAACAATGTGGAGACTAAAGTTGAAAAGAACTCAGAAGAAGCTAATATGATTCTTCTAATCAAAACATTCATTCAGTTTTATGAGATCATAATAAAATTATTATACCTAAGTACTTGCATACATATTTAATTTACAGCAACAAAAAAAGAAAATATTTTGATTATATGAAATTGAGATGGCGATGGCACGTGCATTTAACATTCAATTCACTTATCTGACACAATTTGCCCATGTAGCAGACCGACAATGAAGCGATAAAAACCAATGGACTATGCAAAACGTTTTTAGTGATAACTCGATATAAGAATAAGAATTTTATTAGCGAAAAAGATTACCTACAAAAACAATAATAGTTATTTAACGTGGATACAAATAAATTTAAATTACAATTAATTAAGTGCCTACAAGTAAAATACTTATATCAACCTAGGAATAAACAAAATTGCTTACAAAGCGGTTAAAATACATACTAATGCTATCTATAGGTTTAAAAGATAAAATTACAATGCATATTTTTTACCTTAACTTTGAATTAATTATTTCCGACAATAAGTACAGTTTACGAGTACAATTATGTTCATTAAAAACTACCTAAAACAGCAAACAGCTAGATAAAACACAATTTAATAGTTACATTTATAGACTTATGTCTATTCATTGCGAGTATAAACTAGATTAAAATTAAAATACTTTAAAAAGAAATTTGCTTACAACTATGTAGTTTTAAATAAAAAAAGATTAAAATAAAAATAGTAATAGAAATAAATAATCATAGTGGTTAAAATGTAGGGTGAATGGCGAGTTGTGCCAGATGAGCTGCTAGTAAATTTTCAGTTTCAATCTGCAAAAAAAAAAATTAAAATTTCATTAAATTCATGTAAAATACATACTAAATCGGCATGCATAAAAATATCGCTGTCGCTGCTGGAACTAGAATCACTTGAGCACAATTTATTCTCTCTCTTACATATCCGAACGAGTTTACGCAACCTGGGAGGCACGGAGCTAAACAAATTTGAATTAAAGTTGTGTCTAAAAAAATTCATGTTACTTACGTGCAGAAATTATCGGGAACCTCATTTATTCTATTTTTCTTGCTGTAGGTGGAGGGTCGAGCCCACTCCACTTCTATTTGCTTTTCGTTGCGCCCCAGATAATCGTAGACTGAATCAAGTTACTATTTTATAAGGGACAGAGGGTTAATTATGTTTAGGGACTTACGCGATTTAAAAGTTCTCAAAGCTTTTTCAGCTGAAGACCTATCATCAAAATGGATGAAGGCATAGTTATCCTTTTTGTAAATTCTGACGACAAAGATGTTTCCGATAATTTTTGAGATATAATTTTTCAAGCGTTCTAACGTCCAAAAGTTGGGTACGTTTTTCATGTACAAAATCTTCACCTAAAAAAATTACATACTATGAGACGACAAGCATTTTTTTTATTTTGATTCCCTATAGCATATTATTTACATAATTTATGGAGATTATGAAAAATAAACGAAATAATCAATTTACCACAATTATTCGGCAATAATTTTAATTAAAATAAATTATCCGATTGTGTGAAAACTTTTCATTAATTTAATGTAACTAAAGAATTGATTTTATTTCGATTAAAATGTACTTAGTGAAAAATATGCTGTAATAATAAATACAAATATGTAGTAATTTTTTTATTAAATTAGAAAAAAAAGTGTTTTAAAATTCCAATTGTGGTAGAACCGGAATATTACTAATTCAAACTAACCTAACGGTATTTTTCTAATTAATAAATGAAAAATCCCTAGACAATAAAAAAGTTGAAGGCGTCGTTTAAAAATCAAAATGGCGTCTAACGGTTTTTAATAAACGTGGAAGATAATAATATGAGAGAGAATATAAATGCAAGCTAAAAATGGCTTAGAATGGGTTTCTACCTGCATCATAATCTCTGGGTCGACCATGGGTTCGGGTTCTGCCCAATCAACGTAAAGCCTCCTGTACTTTCCCCATGGACTAATCACCCCATCAGCCAACAGCTTTCTTCTTGCAATGGCGGCTGTAGCATGGGACTCAAACTCCACGAAAGCGAATCCTCGATTAAAATTGTGGTTTTGTCTTTCTGGATAAATAATCACCTTAACAATTCCATCGACAACTTTCTTTAATTCATTCTCTATGGCTTCCTTAGTTTTGTCTTTTGGCACATTTCCGAAAAAGAGGCGGCAGTTATCGAGTGAGAGATGAACCGTTAATTGAGAATTGCGCGTGTTGCTGTTGATGCAATATTTATTGAATTTCAAAATTGCCCGTTGAGCGTCCCGCACGGTGTAGTAAGTAACAAAAGCGAAGCCTCTGGTGTTCCCGGAGAAGTCCATCATAAGTCGGAGCTTGTAAATGGGGGCGACTTGGGAGAAGAGAGGGATGAGCTCGTCTTCGAAGAGGTCGCGTGGGATGTTACCCACGAAGATTTCGCTGCCTTTTGGTGGAGGCGCCAATACGCTTGATGCCGGCTTATAGATTCTTTGACCGTTGCTTTGAACGATGGGGTATTTTTCTGAAGTCATGATCAATTTTTTGCTGAGGTCACACACGATACACTCACACCAAATGCAGTGCCACAAATGAAGATCTATTGGTAATGACCGTTAGAAAAAATTCTGATTGGTGGAGATTTGGCGCGGATTTCGCGAAGATTCTGTAACGGTTCTTTTGCGGAGGAGTTCGGACACCATCGAAGGGAGGCATTATTTGAAATTTTAGAATTAAACTCTAATTTCTAATTAAAAGGTTTTTTATGGTTATAAGAATTTGCCTTGATGAGAAACAACCATTTTGCAGTCACATTTTTTTTATAAAATTAATTGTTAGTAAAAATATTAAGAATGTTAAATTCTAATTTATTTTTGCAAAATCATTAATAAAATGATTAAGCAGTTTTATATTTATCACCACGTATAAAAAAGGGCTACAACTGTTATTTTCAATATTTTTAAACTTGGCAATGTATGAAAAATTTTATTGTGTGACTATGGTCAAGTGTCATCACCATGATCGTAAAGTCATAATTACAAATAAAAACGTCAAAACATCAATCATAATAAATTGATGGCATCTTTGTCAAATCTCTTGTCTTAAACATATTAAAAAAAACTTAATAACATTCTATTAAAAATTAAAATCTTTGTAATTTAGTGAACAGCAAATAACTTGTAGCCCATTGGTAATATTTTGGAGTTACATGGGTATTAAAACACTATTTAACTTAAATACGTAAATCAAAAATAAAGCTTATTTACAAAAGAGCATTTTTTTCTAAATATGATAATAATTTCTATAAAATTGTATTATTTAAATATAATTTATTATAAAATGATTTTTTTTAGTAGATTTGAAAGCTATATAAAACATTCTGCCACTAATGTGATTTTTTAATTATGAAAAGGGAAAAAATATGTTCAGCTTTGTATTTCTTTTTTATAAAATTTACCTCTACCAATGTTTTTCATTTACATTTTTGGACATTTTTAATATGTCGATCACTTAAAAATAGGGTAGGTAATAAAAAAAAATTGAATATACATAAAGATTTTTTATTTTGTTATTAAAATAATAATATTATTAAATCTAAATAACTATACCTAACAGAAATAATTTTGAGCAAAATAAAATAGTAAAAACTTGTTTTAGTTTATTTAACAGTAGCAAAGAGATACATCTTTTGAATGTTTTAAATAGAATTATATTAAGAGTATTTTTTTAAAGATACTGCTAAAGGTATGTTACAAACACACGGGATGTTCCGGTTTTATTGTTGCAAATTTAAACAGGTAATGGAATATTTAATTTTTTTAAAAAGTTTCGTATGAATATGTCTCGAAAAATAAGGGATTAATACCCCCTAAAAGGGATGCGTTTTGTAATGGGTTTTTGTCAATATTCAGAAACCATAAAATGTTTATGTTAAAAACGGTAAGTTTGTATCGAAACAACACCAGAGACATTTTTTTGTGAGAATCTATGGAATATAGTATTTTGTTGCTGAAATTGGCAAGAAATTAGGTACATTTAAAATAGTTAGGGTATTTTTTACTCTATTCACTTCTATAATTAAAAATTTACATTTGATCTTTGAAATTGTTAAGGTGTAGGTATAAAGGTTATCAGCTTTACCAAATTTTGTAATTTTATCTACAATGGTTTCTGAAATATTGAGAAAAAATAATTAAAAAACGCACCTTTTTAAGAGGGTCTAACTCCCACATGTCTATAAGAAACTTTTTTTTTTGTATTGAATATTCTACCACCTGTTTAAATTTGTAACAATAAAAACAGAACACCTTTATAATTAAATAAGAGCAAACGTAACATTTACTTACTTTACTTTTAGTAAAGGCATTAATAAAATGATTCTTATTAAAAAATTCGAAAATATTAAATACGTACACTCGTATTATTAATAGTAATTAAAAAATTATAAGTAAAATAGGTAATAATTATGTACATAATTCGAATTTACGTACTATAATTCTACACAAAAATGTTTAAATCTTTGAAACTGGCAGAAAAAGGAAGTTCTCAAACCATTTCAGAGAAACTCGTCACTTTTACCTGAAACAAAGAAAATAAAAAAATGCTAATTAAGTTGAAAACTTTTCTCACTGATCGGTCTCAAATCGGCTTGTTTTCGGCACTCGAATTGAATGGCTTCTTCTTGTCACTCTTTCTTTTGTTCTTATTGCCAGTTTTATGAACTCCTGGAGATGAAAACCTGAATTCGTTTAAACATGAGTTTTCCGTAAGCAAATAACAAATTAAACTCACTTGGAAAAATTATTCGGGACTTTTCTTTTCTGCCTGTACAGGGGCGGCCTGGCCCATTCCACTTTAATTTCTCTATTGTAGATTCTTAGATCTTCTGCAACAAAAAAAGCGTCTTAACTGAAAAGAAAATAAATTTGTACAGACCTGACCGCAATTTTTTGATAGCTATTTCCGCCGCTTCTCTTGATTGGAAGTGGACGAACGCATAGCTATGTTTTTTGTAAATCCTTTGGATGGTGGCGGTGTGGAGACGGTTGTAGATAAATTTCCTGAAAACGCTCTGTGAACATTCGATAGGGACATTCCTAAACATGAGGATTTTTATCTAAAATTTACTATTGACTGTAATGCCAAAGAGAAGAAATTTTTTACCTGTAGAAATATGAAGGGAGGCACGAATGGCTCTTGGTAAACCCACTCCACTACTATTTGTCTTCCATCCCAAAATAGCTCCTTACCTAGATCCCTTTTGACGATGGCGGCCAAAGAATGAGACATGAACTCCACAAAGGCATATCCTCGATTTATTGAAGGATTGAAAGCTGTGGGGAAAACTAACACTTTGACGATTCCATTGATGAAATGCGTTAATTTAAGCATGATGTCTTCTCTAGTCATTTTTCTTGGAATGTTTCCGAAGTAAAGTTGGCAGTTATTCATCGACATGAAAACATTTATTTTTACATCCCTTCTTATGGAAAATTTGTGTAAATACAAAGCTGCTTTGTTAGCGTCTTCTTCATTGTGATAACTGATAAATGCAAAGTGTTTCTTACTGTCGTAGTTATTTATCATTCGCTGGAGTCTATAAAGAGGGCCCACTTGAGAGAAGATGAAGACGAGCTCATCGTCTGATATGACACTACAGAGGTTCCCGACGTATACTTCACTTCCAGGAGGAGGTGGTGAAGCCTTTTGGCTTAGTAGGTAGATTTTTTGGTATTTTTTGCGAACCACATAATTGTCAGAGAGTTTTGGAAACATTATAAACTGCACGATACACTCTTTATCACGCACAGATCAAGAATGAAAGAAATATATTGGTGATGGTTTGTCGGTGGTTGAGGAGTGTGGTGGTTTTATAATTGGCGGTACAGTGAGAAAGACTTCAATCGGGCCGCTTTGTCTCTTATTCTCAGAAAAAAAAACGATTTTGGTTGTTCCCTAAATTTGATGAGTTTTCAATTTTTTCAGTTTGCTTTTTGCTTAGGTATATGCATAGGCACTGCGTGAAACAGTGAAAACAAAATAGATATTAATTACTAAAAATAAATGTTTAAAGCAGTAATTTATGTAAAAGAAAACCATTAAAATCGACTATTGCACTTTATATTATATATTTATAAAATAAATTATACTGTCGGTAGTATATTTCATAATTTTTCAAGATATCATTAATAGCAATTTTCAGTCCCGGTAATTGTTTTTAAGTTAGATAAAGATTAGTAATTTCTTAATGTTACATCCAGACTGTAGCAACTCTTGGAAAATTATCGAATTTTATCAATCATTGGCACTTTGGAATTTTCTTGCAGCAGTAGGTATAGGTTGTTACAAAACAACACTTTTAAAATTCGGTTTTTACAAATATGTATCTCAATTATTAAACGCAATTAATAAACGTGTAATTAATAATCGTCCAATTTTTCTTATTGTTTTCTGATTTCCTGTCTCAAAAGATTTACTGTTGTTTCTAGTTTATCTCAGTTGAGAAAATATGACGAAACATTTTTATCATTCATTCACAGATCAATTTTAAATTATTTCTCATTTTAGTCAATTCAATTTAACCAAACTTTTCTTTCTGCTCATAAACCTATTTACAGTTGTGTGAATAATTAGAAAATATTTAGCTATTATAAGACGTACCTACTATAAAAATCTATTAAAATCTAAGAAGATTGCTTAACTTTTTTGAATTTTAGCAATCAGCCAATCAACATTGTCTTAGTAAAAATTACAGTAAAAATTATTTCCCTAATTTTAAACACTGTCCATTTTTTATTTGGTTTTACGGTCACTATTAACTCGAAGTAATGTTTTTCTTTGTACAGTGTGTTTCAAAAAAAGCCTGTTTAATTACTGTACTCAAACATGTAGATGATTACCTACTAGATTATGCAAATACCATAATAAATGATTAATTTTTTATCAACAATTTAGAAATAATCGCTGTGTATTGAATTCTGTCAACACTGTTTAGAAATAAAAGAATGAAAATCGAATTTCGGATTATCTTTTTGTACATATAGAGATAGACACTAGGTAAATGAACACAAAAATGTCACTTTTTGACTTTTGCGGATAAAATTGTATATTATGTGTGAAATGATTCTTCATTTCATAAAACCTCTTATTTTTAGCTCCGCCCATTAAAAGAAGAGTTCATTCAAGTTCATTTATTAAAATTCTTTTTTCTGTGCAATTATTTTTATCTAATATAATTAAATCTTGCAATAAAAACACCCAACAATCTTATATGTATGTTTTATAAATTTAAATAAAAGCACAAAATAATGCTAAAATGGCTTTTCGGTGTGATTAATATTCTGAATTTCTGAACGATTATTCCAAACTCCACAACTATCCACTCATTGGTGGATATTTTCAAAACCGGTCAATTATCCCCTCTGAAACCAGTTTACGTTGGAGAAACTCGTTTTTCATTCTCATGTTGAGTTGAGAGTGGGGTTTTGTACATTTGAACAGAGAATGTATCAAATAAAACGAAAACGGTGATGTGTGGTGTAAAATTGAAATATTAATGTAGTCTAGCGAACGCTAGATGTCGGACTGGAAAAAGCGAAAGCTTTTTTTATAAACTTGTAGGATGAGGTTTGAGTCTCCGATATTAGTACAGCTTTTCTCCACAGAGGGGAGAAAACGTCAGTGAGTTTACTACGTTTATATCGAACGCAACCCGCGCGCTACTGCTTTGAATTATTTAGTTTTGGTTCAACAAGTCAAACTTGGACCAAATCGTTAAGTTTTGTGTAAATTTATTTCATATTTAATGATTTGTCAAGGCTTTACTTTGGCCTACTTTTCCTTACCTATATCAATTCTTCCTGGAACTATTTTTGGCAAGATATCATTTAAATATTACAAACACATAATATGTACTTACAATTTTATATTTTTTTGTATAATTTATTTTACTCCATTCAATTTTAGGATAAATATAATATTGATTTATAATAATATTTTGCTACTTAACATGTTTAAATATTATTTTTCTAATTAACTCTGTACCAGAAAGTCCTACATTTTAAAATATAAATAAAATGAATCTTAGGCTAAGACCTTGAGGTGTTTGAAGCAAACATACATATATCGATTTTGAATAACTGACAAATTTAAAATAAATACAAACGTTTTAGTGAATAATGAATAAGAAAATAATTGAGTTTGAAATACGTAGATGTAACGAAGCGAATTGAGCAGTATGAAAAAATACAGTAATATTCATAAAATACAGAAATATTGACTATTTTCCAACAACCCATAAAGTTTATGGCTCGGTTTAATGATTCATGTTAAGTGTGTGTTACACCTACAGTTTATTATTTCTTGTTCCGCTATTACAATAATTTCTTTCATTTAATTTTGATTTTATTATCGTGTTTGTAATAATGTAGTATTTAATTGGTTTGTCAGCGTATAATTCTTTTTTACAACATCAGTAATCTGCACGTGAAACGTTACAGCTTTGCGAGTCGAATTTTATACTGTATTTGAGTACATAATTTCACCATGATTTGGTTTCTGATTTCAATAACATCAGGGCCAATTTTACACAGCAGCGCATAAATTTAAATTTTTTTCGCTTTATTAGAACCAAAGTATAATTAAAATACCGAAAATTATTCAGTTAAAAATTTATGAAGGTGTTTTGATGGAAATGAAGATATAAAACCCAACGATGTGAGAGCTTCGGGCTTGATCGAATACGTAGTTGTACTTTTTTATACATCTTCCAGGATAAAACCCATTTTGATGTTTTTTTTATGTTAATATTTTTGTGGCTTAAGATTTCTTCACTTTTTGTTTCTTGAGGATAATATCTTCCTTTTATTGTTTCAGGTGAGTGCAGCTCAAAACTGAACTTGAAGATGGGAGGGGATATTTCAGGTAACTGAAAATTGCGGCAATTTAATTGATTTATTATTAACAATTTCAGAAATTTTATGTTTACATATGGTTCTTGACGTTTAATGATTTGGTGCAGATGCCAGATCATACTAATCAAATAACTCGAAAGTCCAAAGGGTTGTTCCTGACACTGACGTAAATTGTTCATGAGTTTACTGCTTTAGCAGCTGAATCTGAAGCATTTTCGAAGGGATTACGTTTCACGACGTTGGGAGATATTTATACACTTTATCGACGCGACAAACGAGATGTTTTTTCGGGGGGAAATTGGGAATAAATCAATTTTGTAGTTGTTCGCCTCGTGCTTGCAGCCGTCACTAATCAAATTCAACGTTATTCGCTGTCGTATTAACAAGAAGTGCGTTCGAAGTTGGGCTTTTAAACTGTCACCCCACAGTTAATTCCTTGTCGAGACGGCAGAGGGCTTCTTAATTGTATCAGGTGACCATCCGACCGATATCGACGTGCCTGCCTTAATTAACTATACGACATTAGACGGTCGTATTTTCTTCGTGCTAATTGCGCCCTTGTGTAAATAAGAATACAGTCATCATTAGTCTAATTAGTGGCTAGGGACGTGCTTCTTGAAAATTTACAGACGACTCGAGTTTCGTTGGAGGTTTAACTTTCCCGGCGTGCTGTCAAACAGAGATTTATTTCGTCAGGTTTAACAATTTATTGTAGTTGGGAACGAGTCATCGGCTGGAAAATTACATGATTGTTCTAAGTTTTAGGCGATAACGAGAATACATTATTAACTGGATTACCATAACTTTAAGTCAACGCGACTCCACCAAAAGTTAAATTTATTTCTGATTTGCGCGTTTGCGTTTGAGACAGCAATTTCTGGGGATGCACTCCCTAAATACAGTTGTTAAAGTATATCGACCAGAGTAAATGTTGGCACTAGCGGCGATTTACTGGAGATGTTTTACGGAATGTTTCCACAATATCGAACTTTTAAGTGATGTTAAATTTTTTGCACTCTCAGTTTATTCTAGTGCTAAGAGCAAAGTGAATCACATTTGTCACTTGCCGCGATACGGAATTACAATCAATTATGTGCGGGTCCCATATCAGTGTAATTGCCTCGAACGTGCCCATATTGGTCTAACCGTAATTTGCGTAAATGTCGATGTGTACGCCACTGTAGAGCAGTCGTGACACCAAAAATACGGTCACAAAGGCACGTTACATTGCACCTGACTCAACTTAATTAATCAATTTTATACCACGTGATTTATCGTTTTAATTACTTTTGCTTCTCTTTTATAACCTGTTCGGTGGCTGGTTTTCAAAGACACTGCCGAATGATAATCGATCAAATGTGAATTTAGGAGCAAGCGATGCATCCAAATTCGATATAGGACCTGTTAAATCTAGTTCAATGGGTGCGAAAACGCCCAAACTATGTGTGTTTCTAATACAAGCGAAAAACTGCGAATTTTTTTTAATAGAATTATTTCAGTTGGAAAATGGAAATCAGCAATTAATGATCGGATGGGTTGTCAAATATTGACGAGGACGACAATGAAAAACTTTTTAGAGATTCATCAAAACTCGGTGACTGAAACATTAAAATTGTTTCACTCTCTTCGAAACGACAATAAATAGCCTGATTATGAGGATTTTAAATTTTTGTGAAATGTTTCATTTTGTGCGAAATTGAGGTCCAGAATTATTAGTCAAAGTCTGCAGTTTTTATTACTTTTTGCAGTGTTTGTAATTTGTTTGTGGAACAATAAAATGTCAAAAGTGAAGGGTCGAAATTGGAGAGAGAGAGAATTATAAATAGATCTTTATTTAAATCTTTTATTGAGATTTCACCCTTGTTGGCAAAAATAAC